TCCTCTCTCCCAAGGAGACATAACTTAAAGCGACCCGCCTTTCTCAGAGGATGACCCATATTCTTGGCAGTCCTCTAAACCAGTCTTCATTGCAGCTAGGGCTTTACAGCACATCTTAATGCAGAGCTACTCGCCAATTCTCTAAATGGAGACTTTTCTTTCTACACAAATGCCTAAAAGGCCAGGCTTTTCCTAGTGATACAGATGCAAGCTTCCGTTTTTCCGTAACACTTGAATCCTTCTTGTCAGCAATGCCACAACCTCATAAGCAACACGTTCTTCACCTGCTCATGGATTGGCCTTTTATTTTCCTCTGTGACCATGTACTTTCTGGCAACTGAAATTATAAGTATGTCCCAAAAGTTCCTTTTCCAGAGGTGCAATAGAAAGATTTCTTTTTGCATACTTTCTATCTCAAGAAATTTCTTTTACATGATAATATTTCTAGATATTTGAATGAATGAAGAGTTTCCCTTCTGACACCTTCCTGACTGACTGCATAGTGATAGGCTTCATTATAAGGATGCTAATCTCTTTAATAATTGCAGATGATGGTAAGGTTTACTCTGTCTATAATCTAACACAGGTTCTTGGTTGTATCTGTCTTAGGGTATTCTACTCTCCTTTTTCTCACAATTACAACTACAAGTCTTATGCCATCACTAAGTCATGACCATGCCATGCAGCCTTTTCTACCTAAATTTTCTCATTTAAGTGTCTTCCTACAAGCACTCAAATTTTAGAGGGAAATAATAGCATTCTTTGCTCCCTGAGACATTTACCTAGTCATTTGTCTGTTGGGAAGTAAATATGGAAGGAATTGCCAGCTTGTAAAAAAATTATCTTTCTAAATACCTTACCTTGTATTTAAAACTTTTAATCATAAATACCTGTTTAGTAGTTATGTCATAAAATGCAGCACTACCACCAGTCACATGGTATAACAGAATAATACAATTTTGGGGATCCGTGACGGGGTAGTTAAAGAGCTTTTGTATAGATCAGAGAAATAAGGAATGATGTGTTAGCCAGTTTGCAAGTGTATGAACATTATATAACATTACAACTTAAAGCCATCTGTGCCCTTGGTTTGAGAGGATTAAATATAGCATTACTTGGCTTCACATACTTGCACAGCAGCTCTGGCAGAAACTAGTGCCAGAGGAGAATCACCACATGATGAAATTCAGAAAATAATGAGGAAATATTAGTAGTGTATAATAAAACACAACGTCATGGCCTATTAGGTGACTATCTCCAACTTAGCCACACCTTCCATAATAGCAACACCAACTGAGTATCAGCTGTTTAACACAACAGACTGTGGGCTACATTTCACAGTCAATGCATAACCTCTCCTAAAATGATATGCAGAAGCTCATAACCATCTCATAATTCAAAACGTATTTTTCTTCACTTCCAAGAATCCCCAAGTCTAAACCATGGGAACATCATTCTCAAGTATAAACGCTATGTCCCTGTAGAGGAAATTATGGTCCATATTTGTAATATCAGTAATTGAGGGGAGAAATGGAGGCACCATGATGGTCAGAAACAGACATGAGGGCTACCTGGGCCAGAAGGGACTCAAAGGAAGAAAGAACAATGTCTGAAGCATTTTATACACAAAGGTGTAAAATCTGAATTATTGAGTGGAGCAATAAAGGGACAAACTCGCAGATAAAGAGTAAGGCTGAATCCACTGCTGATTCCACACAGCCTCTCTGCCCCTTGTGTCTCCCACCATGCCAATCACCAGAGAGAGAGAGAAAGAGAGAGAGAGAGAGAGAGAGAGAGAGAGAGCTTTCTCTTCCAGTTTTTCAGCCCCCATGTCCATGCCATGCAATGAAGTGGTATCTTGTTTATGATATAACATATAAACCTTACCTAAAGATCAGAGTGCAAAGCTAGCCACAGCCATAGACACCAGGCAGAGGTGGTGCACACCTTTAATCCCAGAACTCAGGAGATATGGGCAGATGTATCTCTGTGAGTTCAAGGCTCCCCTGGGCTACATGACAGTGATTAAGTCTAAAGGAGAAATAGAGTTTACACATTTAATTCTCGCATTTGGGATAGCATGCCTTTAATCCCAGCACTAAGAAGGTGGAGACAGGAATGATGTGGCTGGTCAGAGAGAGGAATATAAGGCAGGAGGGACAGGAACATCCGGCAATCTGAGGTTTTGGTGGAGACAGATGCAACCTGGAGATGCAGTCTGAGGGCAGGATCGCCCTTCAGTCTGAGCATTGGTAGAGGTGAGAACTCTCTAGTGGCTGGCCGCTTTGCTTCTCTGATCTTCAGCTTTAACCACAGTATCTGTCTCTGGGATTTTATTACTCATTCTACAATGCCCTAAGGCCAGTACCCCAAAGATGCTGGAGGAAAGAATTCCTACATTTCCCCCCTTTTGTCTGAAAAAGAAGGTTCTATACCTAATTCAAAACTTTATACAATAAAGACAATTATTTTTTTATTTTTATTTATTTATTTTTCAGTTTAAATTTAGATAAGAAACAAGGTTGCTTCACAAGTCAGTTCCAGGGCTCTCTCCCTTTCCCTCCCCTCCTCCCGTGCCCTTCCCCCAACCCCCCCATTATCCCCTCATTTCCCCAGGGAGGGTGAGGCCCTCCATGGGAGTGACCATAGTCTGTCATTTCATATAGGGCAGGGCCTAGACCCTTCCCCAAGAGTTCAGGGTGAGAGTACACCTCACACTGTTGGATGGGAGTCCAAAGTCCGTGTGTATACTCAGGATGGGTACTGATCTGCTGCCCAAGGCTCAATAGATTACCTAGGCCTCCTCACTGATACTCACATTCAGGGGGTCTTGATCAGTCCCATGCTGGATTCCCAGGCTGATGCTGGGATTCAAGAGTTAACCTTTGTCTGGTCAGCTGTTTCTGGGAGTTAAACCAGCCAGTCTTAATCCCTTTGGTCATCATCCTCCCTCTCTGTTACTGGCTTTCTTGAGTTCAGCTCAGTACTTAACCAAGGGAGTCTGCCTCTTCTTTGATCAGCCACTAAATGAAGTTTCTGTTTCCCAGACTCTCTGGCCATGGGATTGTAGGCTGGCACTCCCCAGATCTATGTCTAAAATCCATATATGAGAGAGTACATGCCATGTTTCTCTTTTTGTGACTGGGTTACCTCACTCAGGATGGTTTCTTCTAGTGTCATTCATTTGCCTGCGAATCTCAGGATTCCATTGTTTTTTTCTGCTGAATAGTACTCCATTGTGTAGATGTACCACATTTTCTCTATCCACTCTTCGGTTGAGGGACATCTAGGTTGCTTCCAAGTTCTAGCTATTACAAATCAAGCTGCTATGAACATAGTGGAACAGACATCTTTGTTGTATGAATGGGCATCTTTTGGATATATGCCTAAGAGTGGAGTTGTTGGGTCTTGTGGTAGGTTTATTCCCATTTTCCTGAGGAATCTCCATACTGATTTCCAAAGTGGCTGAACCAGTTGGCACTCCCACCAGCAATGGAGGAGTGTCCCCCTTTTACCACATCCTCTCCAGCATAAACTGTCCTTGGTGTTTTTGATTTTAGCCATTCTGACAGGAGTGAGATGGATCAAAGACCTCAACATAAATCCAGCCACATGGAACCTCTTAGAAGAGAAAGTGGGTGGTACCCTTGAACGAATTGGTACAGGAGACAGCTTCATGAACATAACACCACTAGCACAGACAGTGAGATCAACAATTAATAAATGGGACCTCCTAAAACTGAGAAGCTTCTGTAAGGCAAAGGACACAGTCAGCAAGACAAAAAGGCAGCCCACAGAATGGGAAAAAATATTCACTAATCCCACATCTGACAGAGGGTTGATCTCCAAAATTTACAAAGAACTCAAGAAGCAAGTCTCCAAAGCATCAAAGGACCCAATTAAAAAGTGGGCTGCAGAACTAAATAGAGAGTTTTCAATAGAGGAGTCTAAAATGGCTGAGAGGCACTGGAGAAAGTGCTCAACATCCTTAGCCATCCGGGAAATGCAAATCAATAAAGACAATTATTAAAATGGCTGAGAGGCACTGGAGAAAGTGCTCAACATCCTTAGCCATCCGGGAAATGCAAATCAATAAAGACAATTATTAAGTATTGTCCAGGAGAAAGAAAGGATAATAACACGCACAAAAACGGAACTACAACCAACAGAAACAACATCAAACAAGAAACACATACTAAATTTCCAGGTTATAGGTATTTGGCAAATAACAAAGATTATTCCAATATCTTTCCTATCCTAAAGAGTCTAAGTCTTGTACCTGAAATGTCTTAACTAAGATATGAGGGGATAGTAACTGTGACTGTCTAGTCTTCAACCCCGTCAAATACCTGAGAAGGAAAATAATATTACCTGAGTAAGCAGGAAGTGAAAGCAGGTGACTTCCAAAACTTTCCGGAAATGACAGAAATAACTGGCTACCTTTGTCCATCAGTTCTCCCTTTCTGTCACTGGATTCCAGGAGTTCAGTTCAGTGTTTGTCTGTAGGTATCTGCCTTTGCTTTCATCAGTCACTGGATGAAGGTTCTGTTTCCCAGACTCTCTGGCAATGGGATTGTATGCTGGCACTCTCCTGATTCATGTCTAAAATCCAAAAATGAATGAGTACATGCCATGTTTCTCTTTTTGTGACTGGGTTACCTCACTCAGGATGGTTTCTTGTAGTGCCATCCATTTGCCTGAAAATTTCAAGATTCCATTGGTTTTTTTTTTCATTGAATATTACTCAATTGTGTAAATGTACCACATTTTCTCTATCCACTCTCCAGTTGAGGGGCATCTAGGTTGCTTCCAGGTTCTGGCTCTTACAAATAATGCTGCTATGTATGTAGTTGAACAGACATCTTTGTTGTATGAATGGGCATCTTTTGGGTATATGTCTAAGAGGGGAATGGCACTGCACAACATTCAAGTCCAAGTGGATCAAAGACCTCAACATAGAACCTGATAACCTGAGCCTGATAGAAGACAAAGTGTGGAACATGCTTGAAGACAATGTCACAGGACACAGTTTCCTAAAACAGAATACTGACAGCACAGGTACTAAGATCAACAACCAATAAATGGGACTTTGTGAAACTGAAACGCTTCTGAAAGGCAAAGGACACTGCCAATAGGACAAAATGGCAGCCTACAGAACAGAAAAGGATCCTCACCAACTCATCTGACTCAGGGCTAATATCAAAAACATATAGAGAATTCAAGAAACTAGAATCATCAAACCAAATAATCTGATTAAAAAATTGGAGCACAAATCTAAACAGAATATTCAACAGAGGAATCTGAAGTGACAGAGAAACACATAAAGAAATGTTCATTACCCTTAGCCATCAGAGAAATGCAAATAAAAATAAATTTGATGTTGTGTATTACACCTGTCACAACAGCTAAGAATAAAAACATAACTGACAGCTCATGCTGGGGAGGATGTGGACCAACCAAAAGAAACACCCATCAACTTCTGGTGTGAGTGAAAACTTGTACGGCCACTTTGGAATTCAGTGCAGTGGTTCCTCAGAAAACTGAGAATCAATCTACCTCAAGACCTAACTATACTCTTAGGCATTTGTCTAAAGGATACTCCATCCTGCAACATGGACACTTGTCCACCCACATTTATTGCAGCTTTATTCACCATAACCAGAAAGTTAAAATATCCTAGTTGTTCCTCATCTGAAAAATGGATGAAGAAAATGTGGTACATTTATGCAATGGTAAATTACTCAGCTCTTAAAACAATGACATCATGAAATTTGTAACAAAATGGGTGAAATTAGAAAAAATAATCATTCTGAGTTAGGGAACCCTGCCCCAGAAAGACAAACATGGCATGTATTCACTTATAAGTGGATGTTACCTATAAAATCAAGGATAACAATGTGAAAATTCATATAACCAGTGAGGCTATATAAAAAGGATTGTTCAAGAGGTGCTGTGTGGATCTCCCATGGAAGGAGAAAGAGAAGAGATTTTGAAGGTGGACTAGAAGAGGTTGGGAATAGGAACAGTAGGGAACAGATGGGGGTAGGGGAAAGAGTACTTGGAGAGATGAATGAAACTGGGGAGAATTTCAGGATGAGGTAGAAACCTAGCTCAATGGAAACTCGCAGGAGTTTACAAGAGTTGTTATAGAGAAAACACCTGATAATGGGGGAACTAAAGCTTAACTGATCATTTTCTGTAAGCAGACAATGCTTCTAAAGGAGGGATGGGACACCAACCCAGCCACAAAACATCAGGCCAACAATTTCTCCTGCCACCAAGATGTTCCAAGGTAAAGATGGCAAAGAACGCTGTGGCCACAATGACTGGCCCAATGAGACCCATGCCGAGAGAGGGAGTACATGCCTGACAATGTCTGAAGAGCTAGGAATCAGAGGCTGGATAGTTGAGAGACCTGAGATAAATTCAATGAAACAATTCCTAATGTTACTCTGCTATACTCGCCTACTAAAATTAACATCAGAGAGGCTTCATCCAACAACTGATGGAAGAGACTCACAGCCAAATATTAGGCAGAGCTCAGAAAATCCTGCAGAATGAGGTAAGAAGCATTGTAGGAGCCTGAGGTTCAAGACACTACAATAAAACAACCCATAGAATCAACTAAACAGGATCATGGGAGCTCACGTGTGTCTGGCCTACATCCTCTGCATATATGTTAATGTGTAGCTTGGTGCTCATTTGGGACTCCTAATAGTGGGAGCAGGGGCTGTTTCTGACTATTTTGCCTGCATTACGGACCCTTTTCCTCCTATTAGGCTGCCTTGACCAACCTTACTATTAGGGAATTGCCTAGTTTTATTATAACTTGACACCTCATGTTCGGTTGACATGCCTGGGAGGCCTGCCCATTTCTGAGGGCAAAAGAGGAGGAATGAATCTAGGGGAGAAGGAACTTGCCTGGGAGAGGGAGTGGGAGGAGAGGAGGGAAGGTAAACTGTAGTCTGGGTGTGATACATGAGAGAGGAATAAATAAAAAAACGTGTAAATGCCAGTAACATGGAATGTATAGGGGGTAAATTTGAAGGCTTGAGTGAACCAAGATCAAGAGAAACACCCTGCTCATGTGGACTAAGCTACAGAGGACTATGTAGAGGCAGCTCCTAGACCACACCCAGGATATTGAGAAAAAGCACGGAATGGGCAAAAGCTAAGACTTTTCTATCTGAGTGGTACGGGGAAAGACAGACACTCTTATTCTGATGGTTTCTCTATTCTCTCATGTTTACTTCTCAAACTCCTTTTTGTTCACAGCTTAAACACCCACAAAATTTGTCTGGCATTACATTCGAAGGTCGCATTTCATTGCTGAGTAAATAATAAGGAACAGAGTCATCCTGACAACTCTTGTACAATCAACTTGATAACTTGTCATGTAGCAAGGAAGGAGCACTTTCTCTCACTCAACTCCCTAATTGGTGGATTGATAGCTTGCAGCTGCAAAGAAAGTATCAGTCTTTTGTTACCTTATCTAAAAAAAATAGTCTTACCACGGATGTTAAAGGAGTTACAAAAACTAAACTACTTAGGAGTCTAAGAAATACAAGGAAATTTTATATTATAGCCTATATTTCTAAGTGTATAAACATTTTCAACTAACATTTTTTATAGTGGTCACAAAAGTCAGGATTTCAAAGACTCAGACAAAGACTGTTTAAAAAGAACAAATGTCATTAATTGATCCTGTTTACCATAAATCTTTTAGTATAAGCTTAAATTGGAACTTCCCAAGACACGGTGATTTAAATCATAGAAAGTATTTTATGCCCTGTGCGTAACCCTTGACCACATCAAAGAAAGCTTGTGACTCTCAGGGCTATGAAGTCAAATTATCTTTTGTAGCCCTTGGCAGTTAGAGAATCTTTCCCTGTGGTACATCTGAATGAAATCCATAAAGCTGAGGTTATGAATTTGCACAGTGTTAACCACTGTCCTGTGTTATCAGTCAGACCTAGCAGAGACACTGACACGACAATTTGACCTCAATTTGTTACCTTGGTCAACAAACCAGACAGCTGGCTATATGTGCCTGTGAATACAATTGCAGTTTTCTGGGAATAGTTTATCTTAAAACCCATTAGCAAGGTGTCAGGTCTACTCTAAATCTCCTTTGGAGTTTTAAATCAGCTATCTTGGCAGCTGGGGAAATACAACTGTTTTCTTAATGTCAGGCTAAGCTGTAATCCAAGACAGCTCTTAGATGGAATTTATAAGCCCTGCTTTGATTAGCATTTCTTCTATACGTTTCATCAAAACTGTGTATAGGTCAATGCTATTCATATCAACAAAACAAAGAAGCTAAGCAGGAGCGATCTTAAAAATCCACAGATGGAAATGCACAGTAGATCCTGATGTAATCGTGAGATGCACACATACTAATTACATGCAGTGGGGAATTCCCCACAATCACTAGGGGAAAATGCAATAGAACAGAAACAAAAGATTCTGCAGTCTTGCTTTTGTAATTGTCTGCATCAGAGAATGTATTTCTGGTGGATTGACACATAGAATATTAATTGTCACCTGCTGTTTATAAATGATAATGGCCTCTAGCATGAAACTATGAAAAACAGCCCATGCTTTCACATACTGAACTGGATTCTCAGTTTGTAGTCCAATTTTGGGAGGTGGTGTTGAGTGGGAAAAGTGTCTAATAGGGCCATATTTTTGCATGCTATATCTAGTCATGGTAACTTCTCATTTATATTCTGGCTGTTAGTAAGTGCTGAGTCTTCTTTGTCAATAGCTTCTGCCACCATGATTTACTGCACAAGTATATGAATCCAAGTAATGTCAGGCTCAAAAATCGCACCCAAGAGCCTAGGTCATTCTTTGCTTAAGTTGTTATGTGAAGTGATCTTCACAGAGTTACAGAATTTGGCCACTACATATTTTATGGTTTCTATGATGCATGCACAAGTTCCCTGGAGACTTTAAACTACCATGAAATGACTACAAAGTAGGTATTCTTCCTCTGTACTGTATGGCTAGTGATGGTGCTATATTTGATGACAGATGCATACATGGCAGATATTTAAGATTAGAAGTGTATAATGCTAGTTAGGTAACTATGAGTATAATTTTTACATATAAGATTTCAATTCCTTCCATAGTGAGTTTCTAACAGACAGATGACTACTCTAGTGTCTCAGGGAGGAAAGAATACTAAGAGTTCTCCAATAATTTGACTGTTTGTGGGAAGACACTTGAGAGGAAATTTAGGAAGCAAAGGATCAGTGGTCAGGTTATTATTCCAACTTATACAAAGCTTGTAGTGAGAACTGTGAGCAAATGAGAGACTAGAACACTGCAAAAGATGTATATTTATGATTGCAATGGCCCAGAAGCTATTGTAGTCATAAACCAAAGAATAACTTCCCTCCTCAAGGTGGAAGAAGAACTTGTTATCTGAATGGTAGTAGCATTGTAGGCATGAAGATCCGAGTATTACAGAGTTATAAAAGCTTTCATCTAGATCATTAGGAAAAGCTCATCCTTTCAGCCACTGTGTAGAAGGATTAAATCCTATTAAGGAAGCTTAGGAGTGGACTATGCTTGAAGCTGGGCTTGAAGCCCAAGTTATAGTGAAATCCTACAGTCTGAGAGATGTCAAGAATATGATGTATGATGGGTCATTTGCAAAAGAAAGAAAGAAAGAGAGAGAGAGAAAGAGAGAGAGAGAAAGAGAGAGGGGGAGAGAGAGGGGGAGAGAGAGAGGGGGAGAGAGAGAGGGGGAGAGAGAGAGAGAGAGAGAGAGAGAGAGAGAGAGAGAGAGAGAGAGAGAGAGAGAGAGAGAGAGAGAGAGAGAGAGAGAGAGAGAGAGAGAGAGAGAGAGGAAAAAGCCATTAACTTTGAGTTATGTCTGTCTGGGAGAGAATGTGTACTGTGTATAGTAAGGCAACAGAGGTGGGCTGTCTAAGACTCTTAGAAGTCAGATGACACCAGCATGTACTCCAGATATGTCACAAAAGCATCATGGTTAAATGCTTATTCTTCAGAGTTGCGTTTTTCCATTGACTCATTGTTTCCTTTCTAAT